GGACAAGATTCGCGCCCGGGGACAAGATCCATTTTTAGCGCCCCTTTTTCTTTTTTTCAACTCTCAAACCCATTATTTTCATCAATAAAATAATATCAAAGCACATTTTGGCGCCCCTAACTAGCTGGCGCCCGGGGACATCTGTCCTCCCCTGCCCCCACCACGCTACGCCTCTGCCTGGGTAGGCAGCCTCAATCATTTCACCATGGCCTTCGGGTCTAAACATAGCGATGATTCTCAGAATGGTTCATGGCGCCCTCTTGTGGCGTCTACGCTTGAATAAAAAGGATCGAAAGAGTGGATGTTACATGTAGGAAAGCATCATACGTTTTCAAGCGCATCGCTAACACCTTTGCATGAGCTCCAACGGGGCGTGGGAGTGTGTCTACACGCAGGTGTGTGGGTGCAGCCAAGCGGCTGTGCGTTATGGCTGTTGGCTAGCACCCCTCGTGTGAAAACCTTATTTTCTAATTCTAAGCAACGAGATGAGCGTCGTTACATTCTAGCTGGAATATACAATTAGCAGAATAGAAATGATAATAATATAATGAGCTTAAATTGGGAAAACAATATCATGACGTCATCATAAGCTAGGCCCTAGATAAACACCTTATTACGTGGTAATCATTCTTTTTTTTTATTTTTTAGTTGTTTTTTTTTTAACAGAAGTATAGTTGCTGTTACAAAACGTGTCATGGGGTCAAAGGTTAATAAATCATCTCAACATGAACAACATGAAATGCCTAGCACTGCGTTTGTCTTACCACTTACGTGTTTTGTAGTTGATGTCGCCTAGAAATGTGTCCCACCGGTTATCCACTGTTACTGTTACCTTCGATGTGTCACTGTTCCAGCTTCAGTGTGTAAAACTCGGGGGGTAAATATGTCGATAATTCCTGTGACGAGGTAAACATGAGCCAACGCCCATTTCAAGGGGGGATAATCCGGGAAGTTATGATTCTAACACCGGTAATGAAATTATCTTGATTGGTTAACACACGAGCGGTTTAAATAGAGTGAGAATCCGGCAGGAACCCATGGGATCGGCTTTCCATCATCCTTTTTGTTTAAAATTATTATTAAGAAGAAATATTTATTTCGTTAGAGGATGATCTCAGGAGGAAAAGGGGGGGGGGGGGGGGTGCGCAAAAAGTTTTTTTTCTGGGCGTGGGACGGGGGTTTGGGCGGGGGG